AAACTGATTTCTTGTGCCAGAAATCATGAGAAATTACTAGAAATCACTTAAAATCATTAAAAGGCGGTCGGATGAAAATCCAACCCGAAAATCGATTTTGACTATTAGAAAAAACATGAGAAGCCGTTAGAAATCACTAAAGGTCACTAAAAATTATTTCACATTACAAAAATTGTCGAAATATAAAGTAAACAAGAACATATTGATTCCTAGTGATTTCTGACGATTTTTCTGATTTTCTAATTTTCTATGAGGATCCCCAGATTTGGTGGCTATCCTTAAATTCCATCGATTTCTCACCGGCTTTCGACAATGTGACTTTTACATATAAAATTGATTTCCTGCGATGGAAACCACTAGAAATCACTAGGAATCACCAGAAATCAAAGAAATCAAGAAATCAGTTTTCCCCTTGATTTTTAACACACAATTTACTACAATTTCTTCTCTAATTTCTATCATGCCTATTCAGTCGAACAGCTCCGACGAAATTCTCAAGAGCCCGTTTATTTTTCCTCACGTTAGAAGTCTTTCAGTCAATGTCTTTATAATTTCGAGTATTCATTAAAGAAAATTAAAAAGAATACTTTATTATTAGATTCAAAATAAAAAAGGCTGTAGTAGCACATTCTCAATTTTACAAAATAAATAGACCGATATGACATTTAAAGAGCTCATTGGAGTGCTATTTTTATGTAAAATTCAAATAGAAATTCATTAAAATCCAGAATTTGAGATATCAAGAATTAAATTCCTATATAATCGCATACCACAATCCAAGCAGAAATGCTCAACTATTTCTGTAATGAAAACCTGAATACCACTACTGTGTATTCTTTGGTTGTCCGTTCACCTTTGAAAATCGGCTACTTCTGTATTATCACGAGATAGCATATTTAGACGGAAGCCAAGTACAATTCTACTATATATGAGACAGTAGTGTCAAATTTGAAACTTGAATTCAGTTGAAAATAGAAAATTTCAACTTTCAACCTTCAACTCATAGCGATATATATGCGAGTCACGATTCTTCAAAATGTTATTGGCTTAAAAGTTGAAAATTGAAATTTTCAATTTTCAATTGAATTCAAACTTCAAGTTTGACATATATGGTATGAGAAGAAGGTATTGCATAAGAATGGTTTAAGTCCTTTCAAAATAATGATCTAAAGTGAAGAAAGACTGTACAAAATCTTTTTATTATCTTGGTTCAACTACTATCTAAATCTTCATGATTTTCAGCGTAGAAGTTTCTTTTAGAGTTTAGTGACCTTCTATAGAAAACAATAGCAAATATTTTATGGTTCTCTATCGAATTTATGAGGATCCAACTCGAAAAAATCAAACAATTTAGCTAGGGCTGTTAACTAAAAATCGTATGCAACATTTTCTTACCTGTTAATCAATTGTAGTCAATCATCACTTGTTAAGAAACTTGATGCATAAACATGAAAAGCGAGCTCTTCTTCTTGATAGTCAACTATTTAACACAAAACTTATACGATTTTTATGTTTCTGATGTTTAAAATTATAGTTGTTAAAATATTCAAATCTCACAGATAACCTAAATTTGAAGCAGCGATATAAATTTTTTTGAACTTAGATGGCAATATGACAAAACCAATCGGTTAAAAATCCAAAAATACGATTGACATTAACTAACAATGTCTAATCGATTTTAATTCGTCTTCTGTAGATACTTAACGTTTTATACATTGTTAGTGGTCTAAATACATAGTGGTGATAGAGCTCATATTGTTTTATGTTCTATTCAAATAATGTGTACTTTCTACTTATATAATACTCTCAGCGAGTTGAACTAAAAAGTCTATAACTTTACAGGCTCTGCGTTTTGGATGGATCCATTTTCTGACCAATCCCAGGACGAGCTTTACGACGTCTGTATACGGTGAAATACGGGCCGTATACGGCCGTTTTCTGCCGTATACGACGGTAAATCGCCGTATTTGGCCGTATTACATGGCTCCGTATTACGATCGTAAATCTCCGTCTCGTAATACGGNTAAAGCGCCGTATTTCGCCGTATACGGCACGGAGATTTACGATCGTAATACGGAGCCATGTAATACGGCCAAATACGGCGATTTACCGTCGTATACGACCGTGTATGTTCGACCTGGGAATGGAAGCACGGATCGAAAAGTGATGGTGGATTCGGGTTCCTGAACCTCGATAACCTATCGTAAACTTTGATAGTTTCGAAGAATCTGTTTTGCGCCTTGATGTAAGCGTGTGCCTCTTCACGCGAGAGAGCATCTTTGAAACTCATAAGAAACACAAAGGATTTCAAGGATAATTTTTCATAGAAATTTAGCGCCAAACGCTGATGTGGCTTCTATTAGGTGCCATAGAGGAGCATTGACTATGCACAGGAAATGCAGAAATAGTCATCGGATCCTATTGGAAACTGATCGATAATGATAGTAGGAAAGTATATTGATTTTGACGGTGAGATATCGGTGGTTGTTCGCATGAATCTGACTTTCGGACCTGTTGTCGGATTCCTCAACTAGTTAATCCGATACAATCCAGTGTGTAGGTAGGAGCCGATTGGATTCCGTATCGGATTGACCGACCTGGGCAATTTTAGTAATTATAAACAATCGATTGATCATCAATCAATTCGGTTTTAACAGATTGGGATTTCAGTTGATTAAGAAGATTTCAATCAATTGTACGATTAAAATCAGATTCAACTGCAGTAATTAGAAATAACCGATTGATAATCTATCAATTTGATTTTCAAAGATTGAGAGTTCAATTGATTGGGAGGATTTCAATCGATTGTTGGATTTTAATCGGATTATATTACAAAAAGAGGTAATTTGGTTCGAGAAATCGGATTTGGTCAACCACAATCAAAAATAATCACGATTTTGTCAGGAATATTTTTCACTGAGCACTTCTCGTTTGCAGCGATGACATTGAATACTAAGTATTGTTCACGATTTCTTTATTTTAAAATGATTAATATTATGAGCTTCATAGTGAGAGGATAGCTTTTACGATTCGTCAGTGCGTCTGTTAGTTTAATATGAAAAATATGTGAAAACTCACTCTATCTTTCAGCAACTCGTATGCAGTAAATCATCCAGAATGAGTGAAATGTGCTGATTTCTTGTCTTTAATGGAATGACCGCATGTATTTCAATCAAATAACATAGTTGTTTTGAATGCATAAATTACTATTTCGAAAGTCTAATGTCTGTTATTCAGCTCCTTTTAATGTTTATCAACGTAGTTTGTGGCAGATCATTATTGAAAAAGAGTCAAATCATTTCGTTTAGAAACAAAATCCGATGCCAGTAGCGAAAAACTACATGAGATATTTGTTCATAAACGTATCTTTCTCTAAAAAATTTCAATAAATGGAAGAGGAGAAACATCAATTTTCGAAGTTTTTGATGGCTGAACTTTTTTCTGTTACTTCCTTTCTGACTATGACTACGGACTCTGCTTCTATCCTCGTGTTCGTGGTGATATCCATAGAGTAGATCTACATTAATACTAAAACATACTTTATGGATATATCAGCTTAGTTTTAACTAAGAAATCTTGAAAGACATCAACCTAATGAGGCCTAATATAATGATCAATTATTTTCTGTGAATTAACCTGATCAATAAATACAAACAAGCATTATTTTATGTAGTAATCGATCGTTTCTCTCGCAAGAAAAATAACCTGAGAATATCTCAAACAAGTTCCTGTTGATTTTGAGAGAGCGAGAGTGATAATACTCATTACCAAATAACAAAAGAGAAAAGAATAGTATTAACTTGAACTTTAGTGAAGTTCAAAAGACTTCTGAAACGTCTGGCTCTTATCTGTCAGAACCAATCGGTTAAATAATACTAAAAAAGAATAAGAAACGCGAATGAATTCGATGATAATCACTGCATAGATCACCTATGCTTTGCACTATGTTTTGCTGCTGAATGAAGAATTATGAAAGATACTTGATCAACATGAAATATTCATCGATGAACTAGCATACAGTTCACACGAATATATTTCAATACAACTTGGTGACTTCTCGCATATTTTGTATCATTTCTACGTATAGTTCTTTGCTGGAAATAAAATGATCTGAAATGTTAATATTCTTCTTTAAAAGCGGATTCTATAGAAAATATTTTTAATTCATTACTCTATGACTTGATGGAACTATCATCTTTCTGTAAAAAATAACAACAAACGGTTTAAGTCGTTGCTTTTACTATATTCACTCGTAATCCGTTCTATTTCATCAACAACCCCAGAAAACCATTTCGAAAATAGTCTTCGACAGTAATTCCTTTGGATTCGATAAAATCCTACTGTCCAACTGTGCATAATAATGGCATGATATACTAATTAGTGTCCAACTAATTACATAGCATGCCACCATCCGAAGTTTCTCAATTGAAAATCACATGACATTCTGCTCAGCTCATAAAATTTTGAAGAATTCAAACGAATTAAGTATTGGATTTATTTAAATTTGAAGGTTTTTCATTGCTCGAAGCGCTCTTGGGTGTTAGATACGTAGCCGGTGATTCGCTGCGTTTCTCACATTTTTATATTACTTATGCGTATAGAAAGAATTTTCGCTGTAATAAGTTGACGTAGTTCTCACTGAAAATATTTCACTAATCGAAAGTTTTACGAGAACAGCGTCAATGCTTTTGTTCGTCTTTTTCCGATACTCATTTTCAGTCAGATAAAAGTGTAGAACTAGAAAGTAAAGACAAATCAACATTTGAATTTATTCCGACAAGATTACGGAAGATTAAAACGATTTTAATTCAGAAAATTCTGGAGAAATCACAGTTCACCTTGATTCGCACCAGTTAATTTGTCATTCGATCGGTTTTTCCAGAACTTTTATGTAGCTCAATCTTAATACTCTAAGAAGTGTATGTTACATTAGTTACAACTACTAAGTACAACTAATTTATTCATGTTTACAGTAATCCAACCCCACAACTACATACAAAATGGACGAAGACGTACGACACAGAGATAGTATCATCAGTGATGACGGAGACAAAGATAATATGGAATCACAGACATCAAATCAAATGACTATGAAAGCTATTCCCGGCGCGAATGGAGTTTCTGCACCGTTAACTGCATCGGAACAAATAAGAATGCTACAAAATTTTCTTCTGGTGTGGCTGCACGCTCATATCGATGACAATAATACAGATTTTACAACCTCACTCACAAAAGTTCGAAGCACTGTGAGCCCATTAATCGAATTCACTGAAGTTGATCAATGTGTCGATTATTTGGAAAGTAGCCGTGATCAGACGATCCTTTTGATTGTTAGTGGGACATTTGTTGAAGATATAATGCCTCTCATACACGATATGTCTCAACTCGACACCGTCGTTATCTTCCATAGAGAAGAAACACAACAGAAAGAATTGGCAAATAAATGGTCAAAAGTTCAAGGTTCTTTTACTTCAATCGAATCTGTATGTGAGTCATTAAAAATAGCCACTGAACAATGCGAACATGATGCCATGCCGATAAGCTTCGTTTCAAAGGACATTGTAATCGAAGCATCAACGAATAATAAATCTCTAGATCGATTAGAGCCGTCTTATATGTATTCGGTACTATTTAAAGAAATCATATTGGAAATAGAAGAGGATGATATTCAAGCAATGAAAGATCTGGTTGTCTATTGTCGACAGAAAGACATTGATGAAAATCAATTGAACAAATTCGAATGTGATTATCACTGTAGATCGCCAATCTGGTGGTACACTTGTGAAAATTTTTTATATCGTATGCTCAATCGTGCTTTGGGTTCACTTGATATGGAGATTATGACAAAGTTAGGCTTCTTCATTCGTAGTCTTCATCGGCAATTAGAGCAATTACATCAAGAACAATCATCTGACTATTTGAAACCATTTCAAGTGTATCGTGGCCAAGGATTTTCTAAAGAGAACTTTGAAAATATATGCAATACAAAAGGTGGACTTCTCTCGTTCAACAATTTCTTATCTACAAGTAGAGAACCTAAAATAGCAGAAGAATTTCTTAAACGTGCTGTTAACAAAAATGAACAACGCATCGGCGTTCTTTTTATTATAACGATCAATCTAAGTAAAGTATCTGGTGCGACTACTCCATTCGCTCTTATTGAAAAGTACAGTTCGATTCCACGAGAAAGAGAAATTCTCTTTTCGATGCATACGGTTTTTCGTGTAGATAAAATAAAAGAAACAGTTGGCAACAGTCGCATTTGGGAAGTTCACTTGACTCTAACTGACACCAATGATCCAGAACTAGCCGCTCTTACGTGTCGCATACGAGAAGAACTTTGTGGATCTACGCCTTTGCAACGATTGGGCCATTTAATGATAACAGTTGGCGATTTCAATCAAGCTGAAGAAATATACAATAGATTACTCGAGAATATTTGTAGTGACGATGACAGAATACATATCTACCATCAACTTGGACTATTAAGCGCTGGTCAAGATCAATACACAGATGCAGCCACATTCTACGAAAAGTCTCTGGAAATCAAGCAAAAAACTCTTCCAGAAGATCATTTATCATTAGCTACTTCCTACAATAATCTTGGTGGAGTATACCAAAAGAAGGGTGAATACTTGAAAGCACATGAATTTTACGAAAAAGCACTTCAAATAAAAATGAAAACTGTTGATGCAAATGATCTCGCATGTGCTACTTCCTATAACAACATTGGCTCCGTGTATTACGATATGGCTGATTACTCGAAGACAATTGAATTATACAACAAGGCTCTTCAAATATTCGAAACACATTTGCCACGAAATCATCCATCAGTAGCTACTTCCTACAGCAACCTGGGTGGAGTGTATTATAAAATTAGCGATTATCCAATGGCACGTAAATTTTATGAAACAGCACATAAAATATTCGAAAATGTTCTCCTTCCGAATCATACTGATTTGGCTACATCGTATAGCAACATCGGTCGAGTCTATCACAAATTGGATCAGTACCCAAAAGCACTCGAACTTTATGAAAAAGCACTAACCATACTTAAAATAAGAGAAAAAGCGCTTCATTGGAATCTTACTGACTTGGCTACTTACTATAACAATATTGGTACAGTATATAGCGATAGTGGTGACCTTGCGAAAGCGCTAGAGTTTCATCAAAATGCACTTAAAATACGAGAAAAAGCTCTGGATCCGAATCATCCAAATTTGGCTAGTTCCTATAATAATATTGGTGAATTATATCAACAGATGAGTGACCATTCCAAGGCACTTGAATTTTATGAAAAAGCATGTGAGATAAGAGAAAAATCTCTGCCTGCGAATCATCCCGATTTGGCAACTTCGTATAACAATATCGGTGAAGTATATCAAAGTATGCATCGAGACGATAAAGCACTTCAATCGTATCAAAAAGCGCTCAACATAAGAGAAACAGCTCTACCTTCAAATCATCCATCGTTAGCCACTTCCTACAATAATATGGGTCAAATATTTTACATCAAACGTGAATACCAGAAAGCACTAAGATTCTACAAAATAGCATGTCAAATATTGGAAACAGCTTCGCCTACGAATAGTCGAGATATAGCTGCTTCCTACAACAACATTGGTGAAGTATACTACAGTGTGAATAACTACTGCAAAGCACTTGAGTTTTACAAAACTGCATGCGAAATCAGAGAAAAAACTTTGCAACCAAATCATCCGACTTTGGCTGAATCCTACAACAATATTGGTGTAGTATATAATGACATTGGTGACTATCAGAATGCTCTTGAATTTTTTAAAAAGTCACATAAAATCAGAGAAAAAACTCTATGCCAGAATGATCCCAATTTAGCTGATTCGTACAGCACCATTGGTGAAATAAGCAAGGACCTTGGTGACTACACATTAGCACTTGAATATTATGTAAAAGCGCTTGAAATAAGAGGAAATGCTTTATCTCCAAATCATCTTGACTTAGCTACGTCTTATAGTGGTATCGGGCATGTGTATAACAACATGGCTGATTATCCGAAAGCTCTTGAATTTTACAGAAAAGCACTTGAATTAAGAGAAGCAAATCTACCAGCTGACAATAAAGATCTGGCCACTTCCTACAACAATATAGCATCCCATTATCATGCCATGGGTAATTATGAAAAAGCGCATAACGCTGTTTTAAAAGCTTTTAAAATTCAACAAAAGAATTTTCCAGAAGGCCACCAAGACTTTGCCTCTACATACAATTTATTTGGAAAAATTTATCGCAGTATGAAAGATTATTCAAGGGCACTTCACTATTTTAAAGAGTGTCTCATGATATTTCAACAGCCCGAACTGAAAACGCATCCTAGTCGGGCTATCACATACAGTAATATTGGTGACGTTATTCAATTGATGGGACATTATGAAATGGCATTCTCATTTCATCGCAAAGCATTAAAAATACAAGATAATACACAGTATAATTCTTTGGAATCCTCAATGATTTATACCAATTTAGGGGAAACGTGCCGTGAAATGAAAGATTATTCAACAGCAATTACATATTTGCAAAGAGCATTACAAATACGTGAAAACAAATTACCAAAGAATCATCCTGACTTAGCTGTAACTTATCACAGTTTGGCAAAATCATACATAGCTACTCGGCAATATGATATGGCGATGAAAAATGCTCAACAAGCAGTAGACATTGCTAAAGAAAAGTTACCTTCAAATCATCCTCATCTTTTGGAATATAGAAACACATCGGAACAATTACGAGATTTGATGAATGCATTTTGATTTTTCTGAGCTTGATAATATTATTGATTCTCTTTCTGTATCACGCCTGCTGGGGGAGTTCTCGAACTTCTACAGGGGCCTGCAGATGTTTCGACAGAAGCAGGAGGCGACCCTGGGCTGCCAGTAGCCAACCGTCTGGTTTTTAGGCTAGCAACCTGTCAATTGGACTTTAAACATAAACTGCTAACGAAAAGACACTAAACAAATGCGTGGACGCACAAAAATCAGTGTTTTTTGGTGGGTGGAATGTCCGATCATGCTTTCACTATTCAAAACAACAACTGATCATTAAACAACTGCAAAAATATAATATTCAAGTAGCAGCATTGTGTGAAACAGCAATTTATGATTCCGGAATAAAATCAATTGGCGATTATACGTTATTATATTCTGGCCTTCCAAGTGTGAACAAAACAAGATCAGCTCATGGAGTAGCGGTGGTATTGGATAAAAGGGCTACAAACAACTGGAAACAAGCAGGTTCAGAATGGCAAGCTATTACTGAGAGAATTGTCAAAGTCAGATTAAAATGTACACTAGTCAATATCACCTTTGTCGCTGTATATGCACCAGTTAATCCATGCAACAAAACAATGGTCGATAATAGTGAAAAATTCTACATGGATTTACAAGAAGCAATTGATGGGGTGCCGAAAGAAGATATGATAGTATTAATGGGGGATTTTAATGCACGTATTAGTCAACCTCAACATTCTACGACATCTCGCATTATGGGACCATTTACAGTGGATGTGCAAAATGAAAATGGCGAGAGGCTAATTGATTTCTGCACTACAAACAATCTGGTCGTATCAAACTCATTCTTTCAACACAAGTCAGTGCACCAAACGTCTTGGATGCATCCTGGAACAATGAAATGGCATTTATTAGATTATACATTGGTAAATAGAAAATTTAGATCAAGTGTAGAAGATGTACGGTTTTACAGAAAAGCAAGTGGAAGCATAGGTACAGATCATCATTTAATGAGATCTAAAATAAAATTACATTTGAAATCAAGAAAGAATAATAAAAATCACAATCAATTTAGACTTAATTGTACAAAATAAAATGATGAACAGGTTGTGGACAAATTTCAGAAGGATATATTGAAGAAGTTCGAAGAAACAAAATATATTGATGTCGATGTTAATGTGAAGTATGAAACACTGGTACAATATCTCAAAGAAAATGCAAATAAACATTTAAAATTAGAGAAAAATAATCATCAGAGACAAAAAGAATAGTTGACGAAAGAAATTTTAGACGCAGTGGAAAATAAATCAACAACATATTTTAAGTGGCAGCAACATCGTGGATCTATAATGGAGCAGAAATATCGAAAGAACTATATCACACAGAGAAAGCTAGTAAAAATACTGATTGATAAAAGGCAGACTGAGTACTGGGATGAACTCAGTATATATATTGAAAGTGCTATAAAACAACATGATCCAGCAACAGCATACACAATGATTAGACGGCTCAGAGGCGGAAGACAAAGTGTGGAAGATATGCCAATACACAACAAATATGGTACATTACTTCTCAATTCTAACGACAGGCTGGAAAGGTGGAAAGAATTCTATTCAGAATTATTAAATGTGAACTAGATTATTGAACCTACATTATTAGATCAGATTAAGCCTGCATCTTTATCAACAATGGAACAACATCGCCAAGATAAAGAACCAACACTGGATGAGGTGCAGCAAGCTTTACAACAAATGAAAAATAGAAAGGCACCAGGCAAAGATAATGTAACAGCTGAATTACTGAAAGCAGGTGGAATACCGGTGATCAAGTGGTTACATGAGATATTTGTCGATATTTGGAAGAATGAACAAATGGTGGCC